CATAGAGTTCCAGGACAGCTAGAAATTATTTCTTGAAAAACGAATGAAAAAAACCCAACAAAAACCAAAACAAAATACAAGATATATGGCATAATTCAGTCAACACAGTTCATTAAAGCTTTCTACGATCTACCATTTTTTAAGTATCAACCACAGCTGATTACTGGTCTGCTTAATTACATTATGGGACCAACCCTGGCACATTATATATATAATATATATATATTATAATCTCCCTATATTGATGCTCAGGATGCATGTGTAGGGTTGGCTCAACAATGTCACTAGACCCAAAACTCTTATTTGGGTGCACCTACATGTGGACAGACACACCTGGAGAGGGATAAGGAGCATGTGTCTCATTTTCTAAAACCATTGGAAATGTTTTCTGGTGGCCTTAGGTGACCCCTGTGGACTCCTTTGAGTGGTCAAGACCCACAGGTTGAGAATCTCCATCAGAGACCAAAGTCATATGCCAAAGGGAGATTTCCCAGCCCAGAGAGTTCTGATGTGGCCCTTACATGCTTTCAGCCACCTGCAGCATGATACAGCTAGGGCCCCTTTCCTCGGCTTTCAGACAATGAACGTGAGTGGGTTACTACAAGGGGCCATACATATCTTCTGGCCCTGTACATGTGTGTATGTGAGCTAACAAGTTTGTGAAGACAAGAAAGGAAGGCTCCCAAGTCTACATTTAAGTTTCCTGAAGGCTGTGGTGGGGGAAGGCCTCTAATCCCAGCACTTGGAAGGCAGAGCAGGGAGATCTGAGTTAGAGGCCAGCTTGGTCTACAGTGAGAGTTTCAGGACAGCCAGGAATACACAAAGAAATCATTTTTATTTTATTCCAGAGCTTCTAGTATCCTCTTTGGGGAACTCCACTTTAATTTCCCACCCCTCCACTAATTTCTATTGGGGCTGAGGTGAGGAAAAAGCTAACAAAGGAGGGACTTGGGAGGAGACTGAAGACAGGCCCATTCCTAGTTCTCTTTCCTTATATCTCTTAATTTTCTGTAACTGTCACTTGGTACTGTGATTTGTTGAGAGACGGTGTCCTGGACAGGAGAACTTGCAAACATCTCACACTACACATACTGTCATGGTTCTTTGACCTCAAGGCCTTCTGCTTCAATTCCATCCTCTCTGCACTTCAAAAAGTGGATTTTTGAGTTTAATAGACACAGTCCACTCACAACTCAAGAACAAACATATTAATAAAGCACACACGAATCTTACAAACCATCACCCTGAGCTACAAACTACACCAAAGCATCTCCCTAGCACCCATGTAAAATGCAGTTGTCAGTGGCTTCAGAATTGGGAAAGCAGAGACCCTGCCTGCATCAAAAACCAGATAAACAGAAGACAGTCTAATGCAGTTCACATCTAGTATAGCAGGGGAGAGACACCAGGTGAGACCAGCCTGAAAACGCCAAATTAAAGTTATGAGAAGCTGGGTGATAATGGCATTCCTTTAACCCCAGCAGTCAGATGGAACTCACTTAATTATAAACCATCCTGGTTTATAGTAATTTTCCAGAACAGGCAAACTCCCCCCACCCCCATATTTCTCCCAACACCAGGCTTCAATACTGTCACATGTGAAAGAGACAGAACTTTATGGAAAGCTTAGGGTTTGGAAAAACAACAGTCCAATGCACCATGGGTAGTCACTCCCACTTACCCACTGTTGACTTAGGACTAAACACTACTTAAAAACACTAATACTTTGCAAGATAAGCTTTTCCCGTTGGGCAACCCACTCCACAGACCAGGCTTGTCTGGAACCTCAAAACTCTCTAAGTCTCCTGAACTCTGGGATTGTAGGCATACATCACAGGATCTGTCTTCAGTCTGCCTCTTGGGTGGGATAAAGGCATATGCTGTGTTCCTGCTTTTTAATTTGTTGACTTCCAAAATAGAACTTTATCCCATTTCTATAAAAAGATGAAAGCATCTACTTTTTACTTAAGTGAATCACCATCAGTGATGTCAACTGGCAGACCCTGCCATTCTCAAACATGCAAGTGACCCACTTCTGAAAGATTCATTTTGTAATCTGGCACCAAAGGGTGGTCCAAAAGTTCCTTCTTTTTGTTAGTCCTAAAGAGGCATGCTCCCTCCATGTACCCTAGCTGAGCCACAACTTCCAGAGCTCTACCACCTGGAATGCTGGGACTCAAAAGTATATGCCACCATCACTTTAGCCCTGCAACTGCTAACCATTTCCTTTCTCTTTACAGTAAGTGGACCAGGCCATATTTGGTGTTTGGCTGATGAAGTACATAGTAAACTGATCTGTGGTACAATGCTTGCCTGACAGGTACAAGGCTCCAGTTCCATGCCTAGTAGCTACTCAACTATCCGTAACAAAATGCACTGAAACATCTACTAAATATATTTGACATTCCAAATAGAGAAAAAGGCATTAAAAAAGTTTTGATACTAGTGACTTGTCTCAGTGACTGAGTCTCAAAATGCTGTAACAGCAACACATTAGTGGTACTTTAAATCAACACACAGCAGGAATGCAGTGCAGTGGCTCTTGGATACCCCACCCTGAAATGGGCCAGCACACCTGGTTTAAGTTCCCGATCATTGCTACATGTCATACAGATGTCCTTACATCTTGGTCATTGTCCTATTCATTACCATGTAAGCCAATTTGGCCCACAAAGACTAAACACAACACAGCCAAGACAGTCGGAGGCCCACTTTCAGTACACCCAAACTGATACTACAAAATCTTCAGTTGAATAAAAGAGGTTTCCATGGCCATTTTTTGCAATCTTCATGGCTCATTCTAGTTGCGTTACAATAAACTATTCTTTATTATCCCAGCAATTTCCAGGGAAAACAGCCTACTGGCTTAGACTACACCATCTCTGTGGTTCATGATTTATAACAATTCATCTCGTGTTACAGTACACTCTGAAATATTTACAGTATGATAGGGACTTAAAGCAGACAGAAATCACAGCAAAGGTAAGCCTTCTATGTCCACTTGTGGGTCATAAGAGCATATGCACAACCACACGGGAGAGACAACCAGCCCCTCTCCCTTCATATATATTCTTTTTTTATTTTCTTATTTTATCTTCCCAAAACAGAGACATTCAACAGTAGTTAGAATGGCCATCTCCCAACAGTTAAAAAGCTGCATCAAAGAATAGAGTAGTAACCTAAAGTTCAGCTGAGCCAGCCAGGGTGGAGCCTTTAGTGGTGAGGTCTTCTGATCTCAAAGTGATGTCTTCAACATATACCATCATTTAGTGGAAAGACATAATTGATTTGGTGAAATGAGATTCATTTCCAGACAGGATTAGTAACTGTGTTCACTGAATTTCACGCTCTTCTTTGTGAACTGTGAAGAAAATGAATGGTAGCTAGAAGATCAATGGATTCCAGCTCCAGCTGCTGATGGGACGACAATATACCAGGACAGGAACATTTCTAGATTCTGATTCACAAAGCTAACAGCAGTTTTAAACCTACAACTTAAATGACACACCAACAACACCACAACCTTTTCAAATGGCAAAAATACAAAAAAGTGTTACAAAAATATTTCAGAAAAAGTGCATAGTCTAAGTGCATAGTAAATAAAAGCACTGAAAAATATCTTGCTAGAGAGGGGGTTCAGCTTAGGAAGCTATTACCAGAGCTGAACAGTTTTATTTTACACAAACTACACTCAAAAATAGCTTTATGAGACTGATTTCCGGCTAAAAGTATCAAAGGGTTTATTAGTCAAGAAACAAATACCCCAACTGACAAGCATGGTTAGGAAAGACTGCCACCCCAGCATCAGATCCACCTCATAAGATTATTTCAGTTTTATGGTAATAACACATCTCTTGGTGACAGAACGTGGCAATCATGTAATTATTGCTGTTCAAAAAAAAAAAAAAAAAAAAAAAGGAAAACCATACAAATCAATTCTGACACAATCCTACCAAACACGGGTCAATTTACAATTCAAGGTTATTATACAAAATACCTATAGTTACACAATAGGCTCCTGGCAGCATTTTCCGACAAATGTTCTTTTAATTTATCTTGACATGCTGTAAATGAATAAATTACACCATTTAAAGAATTACTGTAGCCGGGCAGTGGTGGCGCACACCTTTAATCCCAGCACTTGGGAGGCAGAGGCAGGTGGATTTTTGAGTTCAAGGCCAGCCTGATCTACCGAGTGAGTTCCAGGGCTACATAGAGAAACCCTGTCTCGAAAAACCAAACAAAACAAACAAACAACAAACAAAAACAAACAAACAACAACAAAAAAACCCAAAAACAACAAAAAAAGAATTACTGTAAGTTTTTCCTTCTCTTGGATCAAAGAAAAAACTGAAGAGTGAACAAGAAAGACTGGGGGAAGCGTGCACAGGTACCTAGAGAGGTGGGGCCTGAGGGCTGACAATCACTAACTTCACACAGTATGACACTCTTCCACCCATTTCACAAGGATTTAAGAAAAATATTTTGTACTATAGTTAAACCCTTTAACACTTTCACTGTCATCAGTTCATCTGCTAGTCAGTGGCGACAGAAGTCAATGCCAAAGTTCCCGCTGCTGTAGCACGGGGTTAGTGTGCCTGCGAGTTATAAACTAACAAAAAGCGAAGAATGCCTTACTCTTTAGATCAAGACAAAGAGAAAAAAAAAAGTAGCGAAGGAGTATCATATAACAAATGGCTTGAAGTAGTCTATCAAAAATTAAGGAAAGCTGGGGGTGGTGGCTCATGTTTTCAGTCCCAGCATTTTAGATAGGCAGGGGCAGGAGGATCTCTGAGAGTTCTAGGCCAGCCTGGTTTTTATAGTAAGTTTGAGGCCAGCTAGAGCTACAAAACAAGACTGTCTCAAAATATATAAAACAAAAAACTGGGGATGGATATATATATGTGTCTATATATACGCACACACACACACATATATATATACACACACTTCATAGTGAGTCAGCAAGGCATTGTTGTTTAAAAAAAAATTTCACTTCCTTACAGAAACAGTTTTTAGTTTTTAATGAACTTGTAAACAAAAAGCTCCCATTTCAAAATAAAAACAAAATCCCAGGTGATATAGATGTTTACAGTGATTACATTTATCTAAGCAACACACATACATGTTCAGTTGTAAGACGGTAACTAAATTTCCGTGACAAATATGCTTTTTTTTTAATAGCAAGAACATTATAGAGTTAATGCAGAGTCCTAAAGATAATCTAGTAGTCGCTATGTTTTTTTTCTTAAGTCTTCACTTTAGATGCTGTTATTTCTAGCACAGGTAAGCAGGCAGAGTCTTTCAAATGCTCAAACACTGGAATCTTTGGTTGCTACCATTATCAGCTGGCTTGCAAACAAGAAGCCAGCCATTTAAAGAATGTTTTAAGTTAACAACTTGCAAACCCCAGGGATGGAAAACCCCAAGAACACACAATTGTGAACATTTACAACCATCACAACTGTGGCTGAAGACTGTTCATGCCGTTCTTCTGAAATGAGATCTCAAAGCAGTATAGTTCAAAATAAAAGATTTTAACAAAAAAAAAATTGGCATATGCACAATTTCTCCACCAATTGTGTGTCAACCATTTAGTTAACTTTTCCACTTGAAAAAAAAAAATGCAATAGAAAACCGGACACCATGTTTCACTACCTCAGTTAATATTCACAAGTACAGCGGCTACAGCTCAGTATCAGCAGGGCTACCCAGAGCCAGTTTATACTGAAATTAAGTTCTTTACACCAAGTAAATGGTTGTCCACAACCACTGGCTAGTGCACATATGAACTAAAATGTCTAGATTGGGGAGAGACAAACGCTGCTCCAGTCACATCCGCTCTGCTGCTTCGCTTCCTCAGTGCATGCTTAGAAACCTGTAAAAAATGGAAACAAAAAAGATGTTACAAATTTTAAACATTTTTACAAGTACTCCCCTAATTAGATACAAGTAGGACAATCACTTGTAAGTGCTGTTGTTTTTATCTGGAAAAATCACCAACCCAAACTCTTCAAAACGGAGTACATGCATCTCTGATTAAAGCCCCTCCGAGTCCTCATTCTGAATAACCCAAGAAGCAGTCTATAGTCAGACACAGACGCAGCAACCAGCTCTAAGCTGTATCAGAGTTCTTATATTCAAGAGGATGTCCAGTTCTTCACCTTTTGTAGCAAGAACACACTATACTTCAAAAAACCCAACAGCAATGAGAAACAGAAGACATTATTGCAGCACTAGAATACGCTTCTAGCTAGATTAGAAACATGAATTTCTGTGTACATCATTTCTGATAAGAGATTATATAATAGTAAGCTTTAATGAATTAAACATTGAATTTCTGTACCCCTAAGATATGATTTTTCTTATAAAACCCCCACATTAATCGTACTACTTACTTCCCTACCTGTTGCATTAAAAAGATCAAGACTAACTCCTAACCTAGAAATAATTTATGCACTTCCCGAATTGTCCTGATACACAGTTCCTTCTCCTCACAAGGGGGAACACAGGGCTGCTACTTTTAATGGCTGGTCTTTTTTGCTTAAGAAAGAATAAAAAGTCCACCTCTTAGTAACACGAACATCCCATGAAGGCCATTTGGTCTATTCCCTTCCAAACCACTGAGGTGACCTAACTACATTTCGGACTTCTTTAGCAAAAAACAAAACAAACAAACACATACAACCAACAACAAACAGACCAAAAAACCAAAACAAAAACCAACCCCATGCCTCTGTCAGTACTATATTGCTTCCCCCTTTCTTCCTCAAGCTCTGGTAGGATATTTCTTTCAGGCTTCATGGGATATATAAAATTTTCCCACTACTTACTCTTTTTATTACAAAGGTTTTCAAGAATAAAACTGTAAAGACATTATCAAACATTTATAATCATCTTTTTTTTTTTTGGGGGGGGGGATAAATGTATTTTTACCCGTTACTACGAATTTCTCATTTATGAGGAAAACCAATCATCCTCATGTACTGATAAACACTCCATCCTAAGCTCTGAGGGCAAAGATGTGTTTTACTCCCCCTTCCCAGAGTGTCTCCTATCAAAGAACAGGTACGTAAGTGATACTGATTCCATGATCCTAAAATCGCATAAAGCAAACATTAATTAAACATTATGAAATAGCATTGGCAAACTTCAAACAAAACAAAACTGTTCAGTGCACTGTGTTCTTTTATGTGTTAGATGTTGAAACATCTTTCCAGACGGCTCACCACCTTCCATGTATTCATGCAGGGCTTTTCACTGGACCTAGAGTTCACAGTTTGGCCAGCTTGCTTTGTGGGTACTATTCCCAGTGCTAAGATTACACGTGGCCTACATGTCTACCCATTCTTAGGAGTCTGAATGCTAGCTCTTATCATCTGCTAGTGCTCTATCTACTGGACTAGCTCCTCAGCCACATTAAGGCTTACTTTAAAGGCTATCAAACAAGATTTAATTGCATCTATAAACTTGACCATACCTGTCATCGAATGCCCATTTCACAGGCTAAGAAGCTATTAAAATGAAGAAACTATGTATGGACTAGTTAAACAAAAACAACCTTTACCCCATGTAAAACAAACATCATTTCCCAGCTACTAAACCTAGGACTCCCCCCTCCCCCTTATAATAATTTGCTGTATTCATGTAATTGTATTTTAGTAGTTTGATTGTTACATTGAATACCCCTTCAAGCAAGTAGATTTTAAAGGGAAAACCAGTTACTATAAACTATAAGTCAAAATACAAGAAAACTTCGTTTTTTTTAATAATAGGGAAGATCTAGGTCAGAAGTCTATGTGTGTTGTGTGGACCTGCTAGTTCAGTCTATGGTCAACAATTGTTTAGGGACTGGCTGAAGGTTAGTCTAACAATATTCCTGGTAGAATACAGAAGTCAAATCCAGATGTAGTTCTTCAGCTATACAGTTCAATGGTAGATGTTCTACCCAGGTATCGTCTCTCCAATGAGCTGTCTTTTGATGGTACTCAAGAAGGAAACTTCTTAGCAGGGTTCCAACATTCACTCTTCAGCTACTAACAAGCACTCTCTTCTAGTGTGTTTCAGTCTTTTGTTTTTAAAATCTTGTAGTCTGAGTGGCATCCCTGGTTCCAGAGTACATCTTCACTGTAATCTCAGTTAAAAATGAGGGATGAACATCTGTTCCTACAGAAGGGGGAGAATGAAGAATATCACCAACATTGGAGGATTAGTGATGATCCAGGAATGAAGCTAAAAGTTTCTTTTCAAGTCTTTGAATAGGAAAAAGTGCTTATTCTTATGTAACATACTTCATCACCTCAAAATAAAATCTGTAAGACATGTATCTTTACTTATGAATCAATTTCAAACATTCAATTTTTAGAAAAAAGATAGAACCAGAATCCATTTAAAGAAGACAATGTTATGTTTAGAGATGGTTGATTCCACCTGCTTCCACATCTGTATCACTGGGAGTATAAGGGCCATCATGTGGTAATAAGGGTTATATATTTGTGGTGGATGTTTGAAATTTCGTTTCCTTCCACATTATAAGAATGAAATAGTCTGAAGTTATTTTCAATTCAAAAATCACCATACAATCTCATTTAAATTAACTAATTTTTCCTACAATGTTCTTATATGGTTTTCCAGTTATACAAGATTAAGCTAGATGAATTTTGAATTAAGCTGCCAGTATGTCCAAACCCACTACAACCTACCAAAAACACCAACACAGCAATTCTAGTAACTCTCATCTACAAGTGAAAGATTAAAGCATTTTTTATACAAACTGGTAATTTATGTGTAGCAGGGTCAAAGCATCTTTGAATTGCATACACAGATTAACAGTCTCAATTACTGTCTTCTCTACTCAGATTTCATTTTCTAACAGGTTTCTATAGTAGTTAAACTTAAAGTACCTGTTAAGAATGAGTCCTTCCCGACTAGCAGGTGATTGGGCATCAGGTTCAGGAACCCTGTTAAGGTCTTCTGACAGTCACCATCCACAGGAGCTGACATGACATGCTGAAGAGTTTAACAGGTCCAGCAAGCCTAAGAGAGATCTCTTGGACTTTCATCTTCATTTCTTCTTGGACTGTGTTATTCTCCAGCTTTACTGTCCACAATGAAAAAGGCTGACAAAAATCCCAGAATTCAGCAAGAAGATTCACTTTCCTGGTCTTCTTTGGACCGTGTATTCAAGGTAGATCATTCTTTCCAGATATCTCAAGGTCTTCCCTTCCCCATTTTGGGTTAAGTTGCTGAATTATTAGCTGTGTTCCTGGCAGCAGTTGATGATACCAGGAAGGGTTAAGCTACATGGACTGGGAGGTGAAGCCCACTGCTGGGGGAACACTGATACAGGTAGGCTAAGGTGAGGAAAAGACACTTTATCTTGGAAGTCCATCGTAATCTTTTATATTGTAATAACGGTGCTCAATACTTATGTCTGAGACAGTGAGCAGTTGAAGACAGTGGGAGAGTAGAATCCATGAGGATCTGCCTTCTAAACAATCTAGCTACATTTCTCTCCCATGTTGTCTGTAATTGAAGTCATCTTAAACTTCCTGTATGTGTTATGCTTCTGATAAGAGATGTCAATAGGGAACCCAGGCTGCCCTCAAATTTCTTATTCTATTGTTTCAGACACTTCTGCATTGGGGGAAAAATCCAAGAGACATTAGAAAAAAACCATTGTCTCTTGGTCTTGACTGGCTATGAGATGCAATAACTGAAAGGCCTAGAAGTATATAGTTATCAGACCAGAAAGCCACCAATTACAAAAACAAGTACGTATTAACTGAACAAGGAAGATTTAAAAGAATCCTTGTACACTTCTCAGTGAATAGGTAGAACGTTTTGTAATTTCTATGAAACATTAAAAAACAAAAACAAAAAACACCCACCAAACCAAAAAACTTGTTGAGAAAACCAAAAACCAAACCAAAACACCCCTTCCACAAGCTCAAAAGACTATAAAAATATCAGTAAATGTCAATCAACATTGAGAGTCTTTGCAGAAGACAGTCTATTTGCTGAAGATTTATGAAACTGAATTCACTGTCATGCAAGCTTCTGAGATGACCAACAGGAAAAATTAGAATGTATCTGAGCATTCTAGGAAATACCCTCTACAATTTTTGTCTTGAAGATAGTTATACTATGTAGCCCCAGCAGTCCTCAAATTCAGAGATCTAAACTCCTGTCTCCCGAGTGCTGAGATTAAAGGTATATGCCACCATCCTCAGTCATTTTCCATAATTTTTGAGCAGAGAAATAATATGGTATTACCATTATTGGACAATTCCATTAAATCAAAAGCTACAGAAGCAGAAATAGCCTACAGCTCTATGTATACTCTATTACCTAAGAGTTTCAAGTCACCATTCATCTACACCATGTGAGAGGCAGGTCTAAGACTAGATTTCTCAAGGTCATTTCACCCATAGGGTAGCAGCGTTTTCTTATCTTTACAGACGTTTAAGAAATCTCACCTTTTTGGAATCAGGGTCTTCCACTGTGGACCTGGAACTCACTGATTAGGCTTACTCATGCTGGCCGGCAAGCCCCAGGGCTTTGCTTACAAGTATACATCATTACAGCCTGCTAGCTCTGTTGTTTTGAGACAGAGTCTTAGTCACCTTGATTGGCCTTAAACTCACAGAGATCTGCTTGCTGGGATTCAGGGTATGTGATGTGCTGCCTGCCCACGATGCCCTGCCCCTTCTGGTCTTTTCTTCCCTTCTTCCTTTAGTTTCCCCTCACCCCCCCAGACAGGTTTTCTCTGTGTAGCTTTTGTTATTGGAGCTTCCTGGTTTTTTGAATGTTGGTTCTACGGATTAAGTTAGGTCTCAAGCACTTACCATCTTAACTCTCCTGCCCCAGAATGACATATTTTAGTAGCAAGCAACATTGTGCTTATGGTAAAGAAAAAATATCTCTTGGTAACCTACTGCACCCACCTACTGTTGTGAAGGACTTTCTATTGCCATTAACTCCTGAGATCAAGTGATCCTCTTGTCTCTGCTTCATAGTAGCTGAGACTATAAGCAATTATGTCTCTGAACCTGGTCTTACAAATGTACCTTTAAAAGTAGTCAATCATAATATAATTATTTATTGAAAAAATCTCTTATTTCAGAACATTACAAGACCATGTACATGTAATAATTTGCACGACCACTGTGCCTAATGATGTTTAACTGTTTTAAGATTTCAAGTTACTTTTGTGACAAAGTTACAATACAAAAGAAGGCTTAAACTTAAGTTTAATCACTTTTCTTTTACAAGGAAACATACTAACTCAGTGGATCCAACTTCTCGTCTTTAATACCTGGATAAAGCAGGACAAAAATTCTGCTTGTTTATTGAGTAAAAAAAGAAACACATAGGAAATTGGAACAATAAAACTAGGTAAAAATTAAGGTACTTCTTTCTGAAGGCTGCTGAATGCCTGAAGAAAATTGTTTTAGGCCAGAAGAGATCTCAAACATATTATAGAACTTGAAGAAGGCATCCAAGTCCCAGTTTAGGTCACAGGCAGAGTAGCTTCAACATACTGCTGTCTCTGCTCTATAGCTTTGGGCTCATGATCTAAAACCCGCCTACAACAAATCTCAGCTCAGTCCTCCCCAAATACAGACTCATAAAAAAGGAAGCCCTTCAACTTTAACATAATAACTGAGCTGCTGCTGGGATCAGGATGACATCAGTTCAGTTTATTTTATTTAAATGTTCCTGAGGTACTAGAAGCTTTTCTTTGTTTCTTTAAAAAAAACAAGGTCTTATTTAGCCCTGGCTATCCTGGAACTCACTCTGTAGACCAGGCCAGCCTCGAACTAAGAGACCCACCTGTCTTTGCCACCCAAATGCTGGGATTAAAGGTCTGCACCACTACACCCAGCTCTAGAATCTATTATGTTTAAAAATTATTTAAATACAACACTAAAATATAGAACAAATACTAATATTTGAAAACCATGTTCAGACTAGAGCAGTCTTTCAGAAACAGAGTAATTAGAAACCAAACCTTACCTGCCCACCACTTGCACAAAGCAGGCAGGTTTCAGTAGGTTAGGCCTCAGAGGGAGTCAGTAACATGGAAGGAAGGAGTTGAACTCTAAGGCACCAGGAATAGGGAATGATGTTGTGCTCTGACAGTTCTACTCCTCAGCACACAAAGTGCCAGACAGAGACAGAGATGGGCTAGCAGTTTAATGGCATTTGCCTCAGTTATCTTCAACTGACAGTCTAACTGCAGGCTTCAGGTTCCACACTGAACCCTAGTGCCGGAAGTTCCTCAGGATTTAAATAAAGTATTCCCCTTAAGAAAGATCATTCTGAAATTGGGACATCATACTTCGTTAGCAGAGAGAGAATTTGGTTTTGGAAGCTATACTGAGCTTTGTAATGATCAAGCTGCTCTGCAACTGAGAAAACAGACACGCTGAAGGCAATGCCAAGACTCACCTCTGGAAATGAGATTATGCTCACTTTTCCCATTAAATGCCAAAGCGTTAACATGCAAACAAAAACTTTAAAATATCTTAACACTGTTAGTCTGAAAGTAAGTCAAAATACCATGGCTAACCAGATTCTTTATTAAAAATCAACAAGTGTTAGGTCTAGGATTTTGGATTGATTGGCAGTACCATATTCCCAACACCAAATGTTTATTTTGGAAAAGGGTTAATGAATGAGTAAAAAAGATGCAGTTGTTAAAAATGACCCAAAATCCCAAGAGAAATGATTTAATATATGCACATATATGTATATATACAGTACATATACATATATATGAACAAGGACATTTGGGTTTAAAGTTAGTAGTCAAATTTTCCAAGGACGTCTTTTTTTTTTTTTTTAAATATGAAGCCAAATTTTATGTTTTAAACCACCTCCTTGATCTAACACTGTTAGAACTGAATGAATTACCCAATTTGCATTTAATTTCCCTGTAACGTCACTTGGTTCTTGGCTACTAACCTTTCATGTTACTCTTGGTTTTGTCAGTTTGCTTGCCTGTGGGGGTTTGGGCCTGCTGACCCTGCCCACTGGAAGAGGCTGCCTGCTGGGCTGCTTTCTGCTTTAACATCGTCCAATCAAATGTGTAGTCATACTGGTGGTTCAGGGTCCTGAAAAGGAAATGTTATGTTAATCTTTGAATGATACTATCCAGCTAAATCTCTGAATCACTTTTCAAGACAGCTGAGGGCTCTTCTTTTCCTATTATACAGATAGCCCCAGCGGGTATAGAACTCTGTATACATCAGACCACCATCAAGCTCACGGACCTGCTTGCTTGTTTCTTGACTGCTGGGATTAAAGGCAAGCACTCTACTGCCCAGGAACAAAACCCACCCCTAACCTCGTTTCTCCAAAAGGGACATGTTAGAATGAAAAAACCGGAGTAAGAAGAGACAGCAGAGTCAAGCTGTTGGTTACTTAGAAAGATTCATGAAGAACCTCCTAGGGGGAGAATGCACAGAACTTAGCAGCTTGTAAGGGAAACTGTATATCCTGGGACATCACTTCTGAGACTAATGATTTACTTGTTGGTTCCTTTAAAGAATCAGAGTCATAAATGCTCTGAAGTCTAATCTTAACTACTACAGTGCAGTGGAGGGCCCTGAACATCCAATGCTTCCACCTTTATCTCCCATGTGCTAGAGTTTTGGGTATACCTTCTTCAGATTCTGTATTTCAACACTCCACCCCCAACTATTGAAAGATAAGCTTTCTCTGGGTGGCCCCGGCTGTCTTGGAAGTCAGATATCTGTCTGGACCTGCCTCCTGAGCACTGAATGCTACCATGCCAAGCTTTTAATGCCTTTTAATTTATCTGGTACTGAATGGGGTTCTATACCACTGCAACTATTCAAAGTTTTTTTATCACTAATTTCAAAATTTTTACTTTGAAATTGCTTGTATGTTATACTTTCACGGCTGACCACTGGTGTCTTCTTCTCTAGGGAAGGCAATTTCTTTGGCACTCAAGATTCCCTAATTAAGTGGTCAAGTTGGTGAGACTATGGGTATCGCTTCTTATAGCCCTAGGATATACAATCTTCCAGTCTATTCCACTCGAACACACACACACACACACACACACACACACCAGGGTTATCTGTAAGAGCAGTCTCCGCACTACTCACAGCTCCACGACTGACCTGAAAAGGATGCGGAAGAGCTGCCTCAGATACATGTAATCTGGAGCCTCCTCAAAGCGCAGCCCACGACAGTAATTTAAGTACATGGCAAATTCTGCAGGAAACCCCTATCAATTCAGAATTTAAAACAATGAAAAGCAAACATTAAGTTAGACAAAGAATCCAAGTTCAAACTATAAGCAAAAAGAAATGGATGTAGGAAGCTATGCCTGCTTTTCTCATTAATTTAAGCTAAACTTCACCATATACTCACTGTAGAATACTCAAGATGCCATTGTCATTCTGGTTAGTCTTTTTTGTTGTTTTGTTTTTTGTTAACTTGGCAAAAGCTAGAGTCATTTAGAAAGGAACCCTTGGGGCATTTTCTTGTAAACTGATGTGTGAGCAGACTTCTCACAGGGGCTGGTGGCACCTCTGGGGAGCAAGGACTGACGAAAACAGGAGTCCTCCTTCCCTCCACTGGCTTCTGCTTCAGTTTTCCAGATTCCTGCTGACTTCCCTCAGTGATAAGAAATGGAACAAACCCTTTCTTTGAGTTGCTTTTGAACAGTGTTTCATCACAGCAATAGAAACTCCATGACAATTGCAAAAGAAACAACCATTTCCAAGAAGAGCACTGTGCTTCCAAACAATTCAGTACTTGAAGGCAATACAAAGTCAATCTACATACTGGGAAAATAACTAGGGTGATTTCCCCTACCATAAGATCAGATGCCTTTCTGTTAGGGTCAGATTGGTTTTTTTTTTAATTAGTATGACTATTGTTACTTACTTCCTGCGTATACTGTGTCTGTGAACGGCTGTGCATGTGATATGGCTCTTGTGTGTGGAACAGAGAACAACTTGAGAGAGCTGATTCTTTCCTTTCACCACTTGTCCCAGAGGTCTTTAATCACTGTGGCACCTTGCTGCCCTTTCTACAAATCAGTTTTATATACACACACACCCACACACCCACCCACCCACCCAATGGGAACACTGGGAACTGAACTGCATCCCCTAAAAGAGTAGCAACTACTATTTTTGTCTGTTTGTTTCTTTTCGAGACAGGGTTTCTCTGTGTAGCCCAGGCTGTCCTGGAACTCACTCTGTAGACCAGGCTGGCCTCGAACTCAGAAATCCGCCTGTCTCTGCCTCTCTAGTGCTGGGATTAAAGGCGTGTGCCACCATGCCTGGCTTGTCTGTTTTACTGTTTTGTTTTGGAGATAGGATCTCTCTACAAAGCCTGGGCAGTCCTACCCTAACCTGACTCTGACTCCAGAATGCCAGGATTAAAGGTGCAAGTGCGTGCAACAACACACCTGGCACCTATTAAACCAATTGAGCCATCGCTCCAGCCCACATCATTTTATTCAGTCTTACTACTTTAGCTCTGGATGCACAGAATGCTGTGTATATAGACCAAGACTGTCTCTGCCTCCCAAGTGCTGGAATTAAAGGTCTATACCTCCATATTTGCCCCACATTAATTTTCTTTAAGCATTCATCATATATCCTTACCTTACACAAAACTTCAACAGGAGTAGACATCTTCTTTTCACTAATCTTTTCATATTTTTGTTTCTTTGTTGCAGCCTGTAGGAAAAGGAGGAATGCAAAGATAAACTGATTTAAAACTTAGAAGAAGTCTAGCAACTCAACTCATTGAACAGAGACATACTAGAGATTCAGTATGTGAGAACTAAGTAAAAAATGCATGGAATCAAGTTCATATTGGATAATGTGATTCATGAAAGAACTGGGCATTTTACTGTTCCTTTAAAGGTTCAAAATAGCTACTGAATTCTATACTACTGGTTTATTCATTTACACTGAATATCAAAAACCCACCCGTGAGTCCACCTGCATAAGGCTAGTGGTCACCAATCACTACAACAAAGGAAACAAACAATTGCTTTCAACTAATTTCCTACTAAAACGATTAAATTTTATTCTTCAAATTAAAGTCTTTGGCTGAACCTCAGATGTGGAAAACACCTTCCAGTTATTTTCTTCCTCTTCTCTCCCCTTACGAAGCTCTTTTCCCCCTGAGATGGAAAGGGTCCTTATGTTGCCAGGTTGCTTTTAGTCTACTAGGCCGACGCCAACCCCCAAATTTTAGGATCACTTGCCTCATTTTTTCTTCAACTAAGATAAAAACAGCCAGGCAGTGGTGGTGCATACCTTTAATCCCAGCACTTGGGAGGCAGAGACAGGAGGATTTCTGAGTTCCAGGACAGCTAGGACTATACAGAGAAACCCTGTCTCAAAAAACAAACAAACAAAAAAACCCAACCAACAACAACAAAACCCCCCTCTGGAATCAGGGTGAGATGGTTCAGAGGTAAAGAGCACTGGCTGCTCTTTCAGAGGATTTGATTCGATTCCCAGCACCTGCATGGTAGCTCACAATCAACTGCAACTCCAGTTCCAGGGGATCTGATACTTCTGGGTTCCCCCGGCATTAGACATACATGATGCACAGACACACATGCATTACACATAAAATTAATAATAATAATAATAGCGTAAAAAAAAAGGATAAACAAAAACAACCCTCAGTAATTTGAATCCACTTACCTTTAGTCCTTGCCATGGCAGACTGGTTCTATTAAAATACATCAAAACATATCCTAGAGATTCCATGTCATCTCGGCGACTAGAAAAGAGAATGTTATTTTATAAATCAGATTATGGGAAAACATGAAAACCAAGCATTGTAAACAAAAGAAAAGAAATGCTCACAAATGATAAAGAACTATTTGGTGGGCAGAGGCAGGCGGATTTCTGAGTTCGAGGCCAGCCTGGTCTACAGAGTGAGTTCTAGGACAGCCAGGACTCTACAGAGAAGCCCTGTCTCGAAACCCCCCCGCCCCCAAAAAGAACTCTTTGGTGTCTTACAAAATTGGGCAATTAAAGTAATAAAGTTTACTAATAGAAAATACCCTTTTGGGGGGAGGTGCTGGTGGTATTTATTTGGACAGATAATACTTTTTCATTTAAGGAGAAAAAAAACTACCTCAAGATTGAAGGGAACTGGAAAAAATAAAAAGTGCAAAAATAGAAAGCCAGAGGAGAGACTGTGGTTCACAAATCACCATTTTTTTTTTTTTTAATTTACTGGTTGAGACTGGCTTCAAGCTTGGAGGTAATCCTGCCTCAGAAATTCAGGTTTTTGGACACAGTTCAAGAATGGACTTGTATGAGGGGAATTCTGAGTGCTTTTGAGAAAACTCCAAGAACACAAGACTAGAGTCTTGAGACCTCAGTTTCTCAGAAAACATCAAACTGTTCTTGGAATGTGCTCCTCCCAGGTGTAGTGGAGAATTATTCATTACACCTGGGTATTATATATCCCTTTAAAGAAAATCATGTTTTTTTGTCAAATGTAGCTTTTGCTAGTGGTTGTACACTTTACTCATGTGACTCTTCTTAACTCTCAGAGTATAAATTGTCTGATGCTCTAAATAAAGCTGGCTACTGCATGAGACTTCAATCTGCCTCATTTTTAGGTTCCAATCTCACAGATTCACACTGCCAGCTAGAGTTGTAAGCACAAGCAGTGGTACTAAGATACACAATGCCCAAGGCCATCACTTAAAAGTAGGCATAGGTAGGGCTGGAGAGATGGCTCAGTGGTTTCAAGAGCAGTGGCTGCTCATTCAGAGGTCCTGAGTTCAATTCCCAGCACCCACATAGTAGCTCACAACCATCTGTAATTGTAGTCCCATTGGATCCAGTGCCCTCTTCTGGTGTGCAAATGTACATGCAGGTATATACATAAATAAATTTAAAAGTAGGCATGTTAAACTGCAAAAGAAATGTCAAAATATTGTTTCCAACTTCCATCCCTTCCTTTTCTAGATAGGGTCTCATAATGTAGACTCTTGCCAATCTAGTACTTGTCCTGTAGCCCAAGAAGAAGGGCCTTTAATCATTGACTAACATCCTGCTTCAGTCTCCTAGTGCTAAGACTGCAGGTATATGCTTTTATACTAGTTATTTAACTTTCTATGACAACACTCAAGATATCAAAGACCTGATTAACTGGCTTCTCTGCACTAGCTAACAGCAAGGGATAAAACAATAAGCAATTCCTTAGATTCTCTGCCAAGAAGTACCCTAAGACACTAAGACTAGTTTGCCTTGATTTTGGATTTGATAAGCCTCACCTCTGCTCAATACCGAGATGTGCATTGATGCTGGCGTAGCGGGCAGTGCCAGTGAGGTTTTTATCTTCTCTGTATGGTATGTGTTGCCTTGTCCTGTTGTCTCTGTACTTTTTGGCCAAACCAAAATCAATAAGGAATAACTTCAAAAGAGAAATAAAGAGACATTAGGTTTCTAACCTTGTTCAATTAAACAATCTTACTCATTAGTAAGTATATTCAAATATCAAAATGTAGTCTAAATAGAACAATTTATAGATTTAACATCCCAATAAGCCTTTACTATTCTTCACCAGTAATTAACAACTGCCCCCCTATTCATTATACCTAGTAATTTATCCTTATTTGTGTAACTTCACCTGCCCAGTTCTTATATACATAGTAGCCTGTCTTCTCCCAGTAAGAATGTACATGTCCCACAGCAGAGCTGTAAAAGATGTTCATGATACTTGACAGCTCATTTTTATGGATAAAACAAGAATGCTTTAAATCTATGAACAGCTTTCTAGGTATCTTCTCATCCACAAAGAACATTCTTCAGTATGTCAATAGAAAGCTATTTCAGAACAAACCTCAAAGTCTGATACTGTTAATAAGACATTTTAAAAATAAAAAATAAGCATGCATTCATTGTTTTTCAATATCTGAAAAATATAAAATGTTAATCCAAAAATTAAAAGCATAACATTTAAATTAAGGTGGCTTACAAATTATCTGCTTAATGAGCTAACCCAAATCACATTAGCATTTTAGAAGAAAATGTTTAGCTGTATATAATCTACATAGTACCCCAGGAATAAAGTACTAACAGCACATTTTACTAAGTAATTCAAATTTAGCTTACAAAACTGAAGTTTTTAAAGGGAAACCTATTTTTTGATGACAAAGTAACAAAACTCATTTCTTTTACCAATGTATTTAAAGTTTTAATTTTTATAAATGCCCTACTTACCATACTATGCTATAATAAAATTCTATCTGGAACATCAAGCTAGACATTTCTATGCGCACATAGAACATATGTAAGAGCGTGTCTTTTCTAATTAATATCTATATTCTTCTTTTTGTTAAACTATTGGGCCTCTTCTGCCAGTGTGGAATCTGTGATGTTTTAGGAAATGTGTTAACTTAATCTTTTAAAACATGTTAAATAAGTAAGCAAATTATCTATTTGGGTTAATATCAGCCAGGGGTAACAGCACATGCCTTTATTCCCAGCATTTGAGAGGCAAAGACAGGCAGATCTCTTTCTTCAAGGAGAGCCTGCTCTACAAGGAGGGTTCCAGGTTAGCCAGGGCTACACAGTGAGATACCACTCCCCAACCAAAACAAAACCTATTTCTGCTAGCTGTTATGAACTATACTTTCAGTTGGTCTACTATAATACAAGACTAATGAGAGATACATTGTAAATCTAATATTAAAGTCCCTAAGCAATCAAGTTATTTAGGAATATGGGAAAGTACTTTAATACATACAGCTCACACTGGTCATTCCTCTTAATATGAAAACCAGCATCAGTATACTAATAGTAAATGAGCACACAGTTCTGCAGACTTACACAGAAAACAGAAAAACTAACAAAAAGATATTCAGCTTCATGGTATTTAAAACACTTGTTATTCCTTTCAGTTTTTCAGAAGGGAAAGTGAGCTAATGTGGCTGTGATGTGTCTGACAGCTGGCGCTCAATAAGCAGATACTGTGTAAACAACCAAGACTGATTCAAGAAACTCAGCACTTAAAAGTTATTTCCTCTAACAAAAATGTGGAAACAGTATTAAAAATAAAAATTATAAAATAAACAAAAAAATCCCAAAGCAAATACTACCTTCTCAAATGCCTGCTCTTTAATAAGAAACTACATAAAGGGAGAATCAAGTAAGGAAAGTCAGTATCAGTCAGTTAAGCATAGGAATTGCACCTGCAAAGACACAGGCCATCTTCACTAGTGGGACAAGTTACTAGTAATTATGTGCAACCTAACTAGCTTGTATAATATTAACAAAATATTAAAGCATTTAGATGATCAAGTTGTTAAGCTACAAAATGTAAGCAAAATATACAGATGGGTAGATAAGAACAAATGAAGCTATTAAGTTTTTACAAATTGTTTCCTCTTATAATGAATGCATTAAGTCATGTGCTCTTACCCCTAGCCAACATTAAGCCACAGCAGTTAGGGTATTTGGGGGCTATTTATTGAGAACCAGTCTTGGTATGCAACTAACTCCCTATGCAACTGGTCCTGGCCTGGAACTAACTTTCTTTTTTTTTTTCTTCTTCTTCTTCAAGACAGGGTTTCTCTGTATAGCCCTGGCTGTCCTCGAACTCAGAAATCCGCCTGCCTCTGCCTCCCAAGTGCTGGGATTAAAGGCGTGCGCCACCACCGCCCAGATGCCTGGAACTTTCTTTAGGTGATTCTTCTCCTGCTGCTGGATTACAGGCATGCACCACCACAACTCAGCCCAATAGAGGTATTTCTTTTTTATAAGACTGAGTATATGAAACCTTTCAACAGCAGGAGGCTAGCCCCTCGACAGTACTGAACACACCAAAAATCAAAAACAAAAACTGGGTCAGTTCAGAAAAATCAATGAAAGGTTATCTGGATGATTAAACCAGTGTATAGCATTGCATTCCTTTTTGGTTATTTATGCCGATATAATCTTTTTAGAGAATATATTATCAAAAACTAAAGACTTGGTTCCAGAAGCATCAAATCTCATTTCCCTAAAGTAAATGTTCCTTTGTCTCTATAAAAACTCATATTGGGGCTGGGTGGTGGTGGTGGTGGTGGTGGTGGTGGTGGTGGTGAACACCTTTAATCCAAGCACTAAGGTAGAGGCAGGAAGATCTGAGTTCTCCAGGCCAGCCTGGTTCACACATCGAAGCCCTATCTTGAAAACCAAAACAAACAATTCATTTTGGCATGGTGGCACAGATAGGTGGATGGAGTGGCTCTTGGTGTGAGGCCAGCCCATATACATAGTAAGTTCTAGGCCAACTGGGCTACAGAGACCTGGCCTCAAACCAAACAATATCACATGGGGGCTAGGACTACAACTTCCTCAGAAGTAAATAAAATGTAAAGCAATTAGCTTACTGGGTTGTTTAGCCTGCCCAAATCTAAATCAGGTCATATATTCAGTTACTGTTACTAATGGTCACTAACCATTTAGTTTCTTTATTCCTTAAATTGTCACTATTTTATTACGAATACAGTGTCTTCTAGTCTAGAGCAGAGAATGCTTTTTAAGCAGCCATTTGGTAGAACCTAAGAACTGACAGCCCAATTCACAATCATGTTTGAGAAATAGTGGCTGTGAAACCTGACCTATACTTACCTGAGGCTCTTAGGGAAGGAGAGGAAAGTACAGTAGAGTGGTCACTACAGCACAGTGAGACTCAATTTGTATTTTAAGTTCTCCGACTCCAAACACATTTTTAAAGCTAGTCTCACTCAGGTGTATTTTTAAAGTAAAGGTTCCAACACTAAACTAACAGCATTTCCTCCTATCAATGTTAGCAATCTAAAACAAAGACAATACCTATTTTCATTCAGGCTAGATCTAAGCTTTAAAAAAGTTTTAAGCAAAAGCCATGAAAATATCTTAGTAATGTTACATGTTTGCCAAGTATGTCTGAATAATGCCAACGTAAGAGGTGCTTGAGCAAGATCTATATTCCCCAGAATTAAATGAAAGTAATTAAAATAAAACAATAAGAAAGAAAAGCACATGAATTTGGGGTTGAGGTTGGAATAGGAGACAGTTTCAGACCTGGTTTAATCCTGAGAAAGATGGGTCCTGAGAAGGACTAACAGTCATGCTTCTTTTCCTCTTCCCCACTGGAGATTCTAAACACTGAACAGACAATAGAGGTGGCAGTGCATCAAACAGTATTGCGTACATTGCAACAATGGCCGGCGCAGACAGGCAACACCGAGGCATTAGAGAAAGAACAGGGTAGCCAAATGCCATCCTTCTTCCACCAAGCACTGTAGCTTCTCAGTTTTCCAAATAAAAATCACATGCTCAAGAACATTGAATTCTAGAATACTTATAGTTTTTAATGCCACTATGATTGTGTCACTGCCTGAAAACAGGGATATCAATGGTGACATTTGGCTCTTTAATTTTTAAATAAAAAAATGGGGAATTTGGATCTGTAATCTTTAAAACCACAATCTGCCCTTCCCCCCAAAAAGAATGTATGGGGGAAAAAATCTTCAGTAAGGAAGAGGTAGAAGGCATTTAGTCACCTTAAAATTTATTTTTAAAACCATGCAGGGCTGATTACTGGAAAAGATGAGCAAATTCACTAAGATTGGAATGGCTACTCCAATATCAAATTCAGAACAATCTCCAAGTAAGAAATTTAACTTCAAAAACCAAACTCGGAAGCTGCCCCCACCCCATCAAGCCTGATCCCTTGCATACAATCTACTGGTACAAGCTGACTGAAGGAGCCAGTCTTACACAATGGGCACTTTCCAACTACAGTAGCACAGAAAACACCAAAAAAACAAAAAACAAAACAAAACAAAAACCCCAACTACAGAAACAAGACACTGAAGTGTCCAAGAGGAACACTTATATTTCAATCTTAAAGGAAGCACTTCACTTCTGTTCTATGGTCTCTCTCAAAACTGCTACAGACAGGTAAACAGTGCCACAAGTCATATTTTACCATCTGTACTGAGGACACAGCTTCTAAAAATGGAACATGAACTTCCCAAGACATCATCTATGTGGTTAAAGAGACTATTCCTAAGAAGGGGGAAAGAGTGTGAGGCATTACTATCTAGGCCATTGTTTAAAGTAAAGGCAAAACCCATGTGCTTACTGCTCTGTCACTATGCAGAACAGGGATCACGTGGGCATAATGGGTGTCTAAGGATAAGAAAACAGAAGGAGAGGGCTGGGAAATGGCCAATAGAAGAGTCAAGTTACCAAAACTGCAGGAGAAAAAATTAAGATCGATTTTTTTCCAACCAATTACCAGGTTTTACAGTAGAAACTAAGAACCTGGATGCTTCAAAGAGAGAAGTCTCATTTCTTTATATGCAATTTAGGGATGCAAGATAAACTATACGGCTGAAAAGCCCTTAAATGTATGAAATTCAGTAAAAAATCTAATTTCCTAAAACTTGGTCAGACCAACATTAATATCTCCAGCATTAACAAGTAACAGCAGTTCTAATAATGGCTCCAAGTTGGCATTCATACAGGCAAACAAAGGTAAACATTTACAGCTGGACCTAAAACACCACACTCCCTACCTGGTTAACAAATGGGAAGTTTCCTTCCAAAAAAACAAACAAAAAAAGCCCCCCTCCCCCAAGTTTGTCCTGAAGTTGAGAATTTCTGAGATCATCAGATTGGAACATGCTTCGTGCATTGCCAATGCTGCCTGTCTGCCCGAGCTCAACATTGAATGAATAAAGAAAGCAATTCACTCAATAAAACTAAGCATTGCAGACAAAATGTTCAATATAATTAGTTTCTAACTGCGATCATGCGTCATAACCTAATCACCCCATACGTGGAACGATCATCAGGAACCCCAATAAGTACTCATTTTGCTACACAAATGTTTAATTTGCTAGTCAGTATTTTCCTGTAACAGCATGGAGGAGGGGTGGAGAACTCACCCAACCTGAAACCCAAGTAATAAACTGTAAGCTATTTTTGAAGCAGGCCTAAGAGTTATTCCTTTAAATACACCAATCCAAGGACTGAAGAACTCAGTATCAACCACGTCAGCCATAGCGTCAGATGGGTTGGTGGCTGCCACAAGTGCATTATTACAAAACTACACTTTAGAGTCTAAGGTTAAAAATCGGATTCCTTTCATTCAAGAAGGATTATATGTGTTTTCACTATTTAAGTGAATGAAAACTAGATACAATTGTCCAAGTTAAATAAAGTTAATTAATTAAAGCTCATTAAAAAGCCCTTGGAATTTTATTATTTTCACATAAATAAACTAGCCTTGGTTGGATAAATTGTAGAAAATATATTTCAAGTTACTAAGTTAATAGAGTTAACTGATTATCCTTCTAGCACAATCTCTTACGTAAATTACAGAATATTCAATTTACTATGGCTTTTTAAAAATTTAAGTTTATCAAAGCAATTCATGTCAATACTTTACTCTTTGTTTTTTCATGCAAAGAGCATTTAACTAACCTTATTACAGTGACGCCCAATACCCATTAGGAAGTTATCTGGCTTAATGTCTCTGTGTATAAAATTCTTTGTATGCACATATTCAATTCTACTGATCATCTGAAAAAGAAAAGGGGTAGAACAGGTGATAAAAGCAAGCAGCACAGAGTTTCCTTCCCAAGCACTGCAGTCAGTCAGCTCACTCACTCATAGTCTATAATGACCACACAAGAACAACAGTGAGTCAGACTAAAACAACAGAGCCCCTCATTGATTTCAAGCTTGCTGGCTCTTCAGGCCTAAACTAGTAATGGCTTTTGGCCTGTTTTGAGTATAAACAAATAAATACATGGGCTGCTGAATGTGGCACTCACTTTTCATCTCAGTACTCAGAAGGCAAAGGCAGGTGCATCTCTATGGGCTCTACATACCAAGAAAGAACAACTCTCAAGTACTTCATTGCAAGAAAGCCTTTACTACAAGCATTAGCTAGTCTTTCCCCATTACTAGTGCTAACTCTTCTACCACAGAACTTTGACTAACTTGTACCTTTCTCTTCTTGACTCTAGGCTCCTAGAAAGGACTACTTTTTTCTACTTTAGTTTCCCCAGTGGTAAACCTAGGGAGTTTGAAGCTAGCTGGGTCCCAAAGAAGCCAACTCAGGCATTTCTACAACGCCCTGGACCTGTTTCAATGCCATTAGTACTTTCAGACTTCTTGACCTTAAGCATCAACTTGTCTAGATTCATTCATTGTTAGTTATTTGGGTGCCTTATTCATTTTAAAAAGAGAAAGAAAAACTTCTTTGCTGTTCTTTGATTATCATAAACAGGATCTTGTATAAAGCTCAGGATAGACTGGTAAGCCCTCTTCAGCCTCCTGAATGCTGGAGTTCTAAAGAGTCTGTGCTACCACACACAAAAAACTAAACCCAAAACCATAGCTCTATGAAATATTGACATTTCATAAACAACCTTTCTCAGTTTTTGTTTGTTTTATCAAAAGTTCACATACCTGGTCAGCTAACATAAGTACAGTCTTCATAGTGAACCTTCTTGAACAGAAATTGAAGAGGTCTTCAAGGCTGGGTCCCAGAAGATCCATGACTAGCACATTATAGTCTTTTTCTTGCCCATACCACCTAACAAGGAAAGAGTCAATACAAAACATTATTACTTAACATCCTAAAATTTACATTGTTTTAACGTTAAGTCTCAGGCACGGCAGCTCACATCTGTAATAACCGAGCACCTGAGAGACCAGTCTCAGGCGGTGTCTCAGGCACGGCAGCTCACATCTGTAATAACCGAGCACCTGAGAGACCAGTCTCAGGCGGTGTCTCAGGCACGGCAGCTCACATCTGTAATAACCGAGCACCTGAGAGAGTAAGGAGAACTGATGAGTTCTAAGCCATCCTCAGCTAAGAAGATCCTGTCTCAAAGACAGATTTCTATTGTTTATTTAAGGTTTATTTAAGGTAACCTTTCCTCTAATCACAAAATAAAGAGTAATAGACCCTTCCCTCCCGCACAGCCACCTATCTAATAAACAACTGTCACCAGCACAAATCAATTTTGTAGCCTTCTGCATCATTTCCCTGACCTTGGACAAACTCTTTGTAATGAAGAAATGATTCCCTCAGCCGTCCACAACACTACAGAAAGGCTTCTTAGTCGCTCATGACTCCCTTCACACCAAACTGCACTTACCTATTTGTCTGTCTTTGCAAAGAAATCAAATTTTGCTTAGTTTAGTATTACAAAAGGAGTACACATGGCACGCATGATTAGGTTTATCTGTTCGAGAAGAATTGCTTAACTATCTTGTGCTATATATACTGCACATTAAATAACTCAAGTGCGATTACTCATGTCTGCAAACACATTCTTCTCCAAAATAATATGGAACCAACCTGGCTATATACAGCAAGCCTTTGTCTCCAGAAAAAAGTTAAAATTGCTGTAAATGACATAAAAGCCTAACCTGGCTTAGTTTCTTTGCTAATACCAACAGGAATTAAAGCCAAGATTTTTTAAAAAATATAATCTGTGAATGTTGGCTGTAACACTAGTCCTCAGGAGTTTGAGGTAGAGTCTAGCCTAAGCTCCACGGTAAGATGAGATTACTTACAGGTATCTAGGAAACTCCTTCTTAGGTATTTCAATGCCCTTCCCCTTTTTACAGTTTTGCTCTAACATGCTGCACTGCTAATAAATAGCACTGATTTAAAACATCAATATTAACATAGGAATACAAAGATCTCACTATATAATGTTTGGTACTATAAACTTGGTCAAAAGCCTGTGGTTTAGGAACTCGAAGACCCTGCTAGGGAAGCTTCCACTGTTACATGGCTGACTGGAGACTGTATGCAGATCAAAATGCTGGTACTTCTGTTTTTGAAATTGTTTATTTCAATGAATGGTCTCAGATACTCAATACTACCATCACTTCAATATCATCCACCAGAACAGAATTGTAGTGGATTTCAAAAGTGATATTTAAGAGATTCAGGAAATACAGAAAAAGCTCAAATCAACTGGTTCTAATTTCAGACCACTGTTGTATTGCTGACTAGAGACTGCATGCAGATCAGAATGCCTTCTAAATATTCTTGTCTATGTCCATGCACCAGTGCTGCTGTCAGCTGCAGTCAGCTGCAGTCAGAGGCTACTTTTTGCAGTGAGTCAGGGGCTAACTGTAGAGCCTCCTAACTGGTCAAAATGCTGACATTAACTGTTGAAAATGGGCCTTAAATGGGACTTCTATACCTTGTCGTTCTCCAAGGCCCAGGGAACATCCCCAAATAATTTAAGAGCTGGAGAAAGAGGCAGAAGGGCATTGTTGTATGTACTTCTTGATGTCTCTCATTAGCATAAAGCCTGAAACACCACTCAAACTATTGCACACTTATGAATTTGATGTTTATAGTAGCTAACAAGACAAAACCGAACAATATCTTCTTTCACAATTATCTTTGTTTACCATGCAATACGTAATAGTCAAATAAAGATCTGTCAGAGAAAAAAACTTTAGATGATGACTTAAAATATTAATTTCCAAAAAGTAATGAGACTGCTCCTTAATCGTACTATAGAGATTTGTTGCAGGATATCTGATCACACTGTGAACACCAAGATTTACTGAAAAGCCTGTCACTAGTTGTGTTCTGGCCTTAGCACACACGTTTAATCCCTCTGGCTGGAATACAGATACACCCTTAGTACATACACCTTTAATCCCAAACAATGAAGATAAAGTTAATTTGTAGAAGCACTCATGTTTGAAAATGATGTCTAAACTGGACAGTGGTGGCGCACACCTTTAATCCCAGCACTTGGGAGGCAGAGCAGGCGAATTTCTGAGTTCGAGGCCAGCCTGGTCTACAGAGGGAGTTCCAGGACAGCCAGGGCTACACAGAGAAACCCTGTCTCAAAAAAACAAAACCAAAAAAAAAAAAAAAAAAAAAGAAATGAAAATGTCTAACTGAGTGTCAGGCAAAGTGATGTGATACATCAGAGAAAAATTTGACAGAATAGGATATGCCCAACTCTTTTTTTTTTTTTAAAGATTTATTTTGTTTATATGACTACACTGGTCTTCAGACATACCAGAAGAAGGCATTGGATTCCATTACAGATGGTTGTGAAACCACTATGTGGTTGCTGGGAATTGAACTCAGGACCTTTGGAAGAGCAGTCAGTGCTCTTAACCACTGAGCCATCTCGCCAGCCCATGCCCAACTCTTATGAGAGGAAAGGAAAGCTACTTGAGGTGCAATGCAGGGAGGGGGCAGGAATCAAGGCATTTCTACTGGGAGGGCCTTACAGACAGCTCAAAAAGGGCAAAATGAGAACAAACTAGACACAGATGAAGAAGACAGAATAAGCCAGAGAATGAGAAGGGACCACAAGATCAGAACATATTGCTAGAAGTTAGTTTGAGGCCAAGCAGAGTACTTCTGGAGAGGACAAGAAAGAGAAGCAAGACTGATTCAGTCAGGTTGGAGAGACAGAATAGCAGAGTTGAATCTGCCAGCCAGAGATCAGAAAGAACTAAGAATGGGCAAGCTTATTCAGCAGTAACTCTCAGAGGCTGAAAACATTCTAGGGCTACATTAGATTGTATAGAGGCTAGAAGCTTCCAGGACTAGGCCTAGGGTAGCAGACTGAGGCAGTAATCCTTCAGACAAAAATTTCTACTTGAGAATAAGTTACTTTTACTGAGTCAGGTGAAAGCATGAATGGTCACAATAAACTGCAGGTAACCAGTATGGTTTGTATTACAAAGAAGAATCAGTAACCTTGTCTTCTTCACTATTTAATTCACTAAAAAACCATTTTATATCCGCTAATTTATTTGCATTTCTCTTGGTTAAAGCTATGCATTCTTATTAAAGTTTGACAAAAATCACAATGAATGAATTGTTCTAGTAGGTCCTGTTCTCACTACTTTAAGCACTGATAACAGTGTTAGTACTATGGGACAAGGTGTAGACAACTGAAGGTCAAGAGAGTCAAGTATTACAATACCTTTATTCATTGGAAGTGGAAAATACAGCCATCATCTGCACGTCCAGCACAAATGATTCACAGTCTTGCTCTTTTGGTTGGGTGTGGTAGACCAAACCCAGAGGCCCCCAGATGCCAAGCAAGCACTTTCCCACTGTCTTATGTCCAAGACCCTGATCAGTATTTTCCTAATAGGCAACTAACTATATACATACAGAAAAGAAAACTGCTGCCTTCCTCTGTCCAGCAAGGAAATAGAGAATAACTGTTAATGAGTTCAGGGTATCATTGAGGAATATGATGAAAATACCCTAAGACTGGATTATGGTAATGACTGTACAACTCTGTACATGACAAAAATAAAACACACACATTAAACAGGCCAAGCTTTTCATTAGCAAACTGTCATTTTAAGTTATTTCTAATATTTCTCCTATTCTATAATTAGAAGTTATAGAAATCTTAAGGACAGTTGGAGTATTTATGGAGGCTCATGACCAAAAGTTTAACATTTGAGAGAGGCTGTAAGGGAATTGTTTCTCATGTTAGTATTGAAAGTATTGAGTAGTGGCCCATACCTGTAGTTCCAGTATTCAGGAAGCAGAAGGAAGACAAACAACTCTTTGCATGTATGTATGTATGTATGTATGTGTACACACACAAACATATTCACACACATATGTGTATATACAGAAAGAGAGAGAGAGAGATTGTTTTGGATGACTGTGAGCCACCATCTCGGTGCTTAGAATAGAGCTCCAATCCTCAAGAAGCAACAAATGCTCTTACCCAAGAATAGATGATGAGCCATCTCTCGACCCATGTCATGTAGCTATAGGTCTGAGAAAGGCTCACTTCACTGGATTCAAACAGACATCCTTAAAGGTATCTGTCCCTTGAATCTGACTGTGCTAGAGAGTTTTATGTCAGCTTCACACAAGTCATATGGAAGAGGGAACCTTAATCTGGAAAATACTTCCACTAGATTGCCTGAAGGTGAGCCAGGTCCTTCAAGTCCGATCTAGTGGTCCTAAATGCTGCTGTAAAGAAGTCTGCAAGCAGCAATCCTCCATGGCCTGACTCAGCTTTTGCCTCCAAGTTCCTACCCCGGCTTCTCCCAGTTGTGCTATGGAACTCTAAGCTAAAATAAACTCCTCCCAGAGTTGCTTTTGGTCGTGGTGCTTTGTCATAGAAACAGACACCTCTAATTTTAACACAATGACCAATGAAAGAAACTGAGTACTTCTATGTACAGTTTGAAACTTATTCTTTCTTATATACTATCCTCTTGAAATTAAGAAAATTCTCATGCCCTTACACATTCAATCTCCTCTTGAAATTAAGAAAATTCTTATGCCCTTACACATTCAATCTCATTTGGAGAATTAGACATGGTTGTCCTAATTTTCAGAGGAAGTCAAAGTTACTGGTGCCAATGCTTGATTCATAACACATGCTCAGAACACAAAATTCTGCATTGAAGTGTGCCTATTTTAAACTTGCACAATTAAACTTTTACACAGTGGGCATTCATAGGAAAAAAAACATTTTTATATATAACTTACTTAGACATGCTGTATATAAGCATGCTTATATGTTTAAGTATATTAACTTAAAAGACAGTTTCAAC